TGTGTGAGTGTGTGTGAGAGAGGGGGAAGTGTGTGTGTGTGTGATAGAGAGAGAGGGAGGGAGAGAGAGAAAGGGGAGAGAGAAAGAGGGGGAGAGAGAAAGGGGGGAGAGAGGGAAGTGTGTGTGTGTGAGAGAGAGAGAGAGAGAGAGAGAGGGGAGAGAGAGGGAGTCAGAAAGGGAGAGAGAAGAAAGAGAGGGGAGAGATAAAGAGAGAGGGAGAGATACAGACGTACATTTTGTACAGAGACAAATGCTGCCTAAAATATAACCTTTACTTCTCATCATGGCGATACAATAATTAGCTTTGACTTTGACGTCTGCACTACTACATGAAAACCGAGATTCTGGCAAACACGCTAAACCTGTACGTGCGTGAGAGAGAAAGAAAGTGAGAAAGAAAGAGGAATTCGAAGAGATAGAGTGAGGTAGCAAAGTCAGGGGTGAAAGAAAGAGAGAGTGTGTGTGTGTTTGAGAGGGAGGGAGAGAGAGAGAGAGAGAGAAAGAGAAAGAGAGAGACAGACAGAGAGACAAACCGAAACTGAGATAGGAAAGCCAGAAATGACGAGAGAGGGGCGGGGGAATACAGACATACAGATAGACAAAGACTGCCTAAAATATAACATTTTACTTCTCAAATGCATCACGAAGATAACTCTGACTCTGACGTCTGCACTACTACATGAAAACCGCGATTCTGGCAAACATGTACGTGCGTGGGCACAACTCAACTCCAAACATTGAAACAACTCTCTTTGTTCTCCCCAAACCCCCACTGTGCCGCTAGCGGAGCCCCTGCAGTTAGCTAGTGCGACAACAGAACTTGAAAGAGCGTCACAGAGAAGTTGACTGACAGGCGCACGCACGAAGTTTTCTATTCAGGCCACAGCAAGTCATTTTTATGGATGACATCAACGCGCGCATTGATTTTCGCCTGATTTTGGAAAACAAAACAAGAAATTGCGTTGCCCTCTGACAGTGGTCAACATGTCGAAAATGGGCAATGTCTGTTGCCATGCCGGGACGTGGATGGCAGATAAATATTAAAGGCATCCAGTGTAATTTTTAGGGCTTGTAAACACGATTTTTGAAAGCTAATATTCTAGACACTTATCTACATACTGAGTTGAAACAACACTATCCCGATGTGTATTCATCCTCATGGAGCAGATATCTGCCAGAAAATGGTTACTGGAAGGGCCTTAGCCTCGGCTAATTTTTAGGGTACCACCCAGAAAATAAAGGACTCGTCTTGGGGCTTGTTTCTGCAGTTTAAAATGGCAAAAGTACGAAATGCTGATTTAAATGTGCTAATGTGTCCTATCGCATTAGATTTGGAGTGTACGGACGATGCCATCCATAGAATGTGTTTGCTGTAGCCTTAGCTAATTGTGGACGTGGTTTGTGCGAAAAACGACAAGCTCACGTGTCGGTTCTGGTGACAGGCTTCACATGCGAACATCCGCGGTACGGGAACTCAAAGGAGGGTCTGCATGGGGGGATCTCGGTAATTTTTTTATTCCAACATCTAATCACCAGACGTGGTGACGGCACACTCAAGTTTTTTCAACTTATATTAAATTGTATATATATTTTATATTAATTTTTATATTAATTTTTCAACTTATATTAAATTATATTAATGGCGCAGGACGCTGTGCAGACGGAGGGACGACTTTGACGCAGGCCACTCACAATGATGAGGAGACCCACTCAAGTACAAGTACAAGTAAGTATTAATGCCGCCACCAACACAGGGGACAATACAATACTCATTTTCACCTGAGCGAAGTGAAGAAAGTCGTGTTTAGTGCTTTTCCCAAGGGCACAAGATCGGTGGCATGTTAGGACTCGAACCTGGGACCTCTTGGTTCCGACGACCTACGGGGGTACCGACAAAAAAGAGCCATATATAAAAAAGTTAGCGATCATTACCCCACAACATCTGCTTGGAGGGTAGGTGAAGGCTGGTACGCGGCACCGTTAGAAAGAAATCTGAGACACGTCGATGACGATTAGGCATCCGGGAAATGAGATACTCAAGGAAATTGTTACTCAAGCAACTGGATACTTTTTGAAAACTGTCAGAAGTTTCAAGTAACATCCGCTACTAGACAGTAACTGAACATAGCAGATGCCAATTGAAACGTCGCTGACAGTTTTCAAAAGATATCCTGTTGCTTGAGTAGCAATTTCCTTGAGATTTCAAACTTCCGAAAAGTATTGGAGTTTAACGTTCCCTCTGGCGATTCTTGGCTTCCTGAATTTCTGCTAGCCTCTACCAGGCTTCGGGAGGCGGTTGGAAAGAGTAGAAATCGGCCAAACAAAGAGATAACATGCCAGTGGAGTTGGTCTGCTGGGAAAGAACATTTTGCCGCACCCGAAATGTTCTCTCAACGGACCAACTCCCCTGGCTAGATGGCAGTTTGAACTGTCATTATGCCAGTCAATCTTCCCAACCAACGTGCTGTCAACCTAATCTGTCTGGACAAAGCACTCTACGAAGTCTAACCCACAGCACGCAAAACAACAAGCTCTTTCTACGTGTAAAGTTCCTCTGTGATAAACATAATGTTTGATTTGATTTATTGAAATTGCAACAGTGCACTACACGCGGAACAGAGGCAGCTGTTGCTGGTGTTGTGTCCAACAAATAAAAATATAAGATATACTCATTTTCACTTGAGTCAAGTGGGGAAAGTCGTGTTAAGTGCCTTTCCCAAGGGCACAAGATCGGTGGCATGTCAGGACTCGAACCCGGGACCTCTAGCTTCCGAGTCGAGTACTCTGTCGTTGCGCCACACACACGATAATTTTACTTACAGTTAGTTTCTGTGTTATAGACACAAACGGGCAAAATGATTACCCTTCTGTGCAAACTTCTAGCGGGGCAGCGTTTGTTTCTACGAGCGTGTGATGGTTCCGCGTATGACCGCGTATGAGCGCCCTCTGGCGAAATCAATGGTATATGCAGGGCTGAACAGTTATATACAGTAATCTGAGCCCCAAGGTTTTAATTACAAGAATCGAAATCCGTTTTTAATTTGAGTATAACAAAATAAAAAAGAAGGAAAACTAGATAAAAGAAACAAGAGTTTTCTTTACTATTTTCTTTTGTTTTGTAACGTTTCGACGTTACTGAGACAGGCAAATTAAGAACTTACTTTAATTTAAGAAAGAGGATAGAAAAAGGATGAGTCAAGCTACAAGCGACAGGTTACCGTCGAAGTGGCCCCACCAACCCACTCCTGCCAACGTGACACATCAAAATGAAATAATGACATAAAAGACAGACATTTTACGACGAAAGAATCGAAATCCATGGTTAGATTTGCACTTATCTAGACTGCGCATGCCTTGCACTAGCCTCTATCAGGCACCGCGGATCGCTGGAAAAATAGTAGAAATTGGCCGAAATAAAGGGATAGTATACCAGAGAAGATTCAGGGCCATAGAAGCTCCAATTTCTACTATTTTTCCAGCGATCCGCGGTGCCTGGAAGAGGCTAGCCTTGCACGCCGGCCTTGCCCTACAACGTGCGTGTATTGTACATCGTCCTTGCCCTTCAACGTGATATTCACTCTCTTCCACTCAAGGCTTATTAATAGACGAACGCGTTACAGTCAAAACGAACTTAAGAACAGCGGGGCAGCGCATATGTAGACGTTTTCATCGAATTGAATCATCTAAAAAACAGGACACGTTCTCTGAAGAGCGTCGGTGAAGGTTAGACATCCAGGTAATAAGATACGCCAAAAAGCAGTTACTCAAGCAACTGGATATGATTTTGGATACGGTTCTTTGGAGAGGCATGGCAAAAGAAAACATGTAGGGGTGAACAGGTACATTTGTATACTAGTATACTAACTCGGAGACCCCTAGTGTTTTAATTTATTGTAATTACAGGAATCGAAATCATTCCAACCATGCTGAGATCTCTACTTCTCCTAGCCGCGGCGACTGTTGCAGGGCTTCTCTTGCTTGCTAACAATAGTACGGCTAATGTAAAAGACTGCAAGCAAGAGAAGCCCTGCAACAGTCGCTGCGGCTACACTTCCCCATTCTGCGCATGGCTTACACATCGTCCTTGCCTTTCCACGTGGAATCCACTCTCTTCCTCTCCTAGCGTATTAATAGACGAACGCGTATGGAGATGTACAGTCAAAACGAACTTAAGAATAGCGGACAGCTCACGCGTAGAGACGCGTTTCCATGAGTACAATTGAGTTGTCTGAAAAGATGAAACGAGAGAATGACAGAAAGCGTTCTTTGAAGAGACATGTCAAAAGGACATACACAAAGGCGAAGCGCAATCTTTGACGTCTTTAACGTAGTGCCGACGTTCTAACAAGGTATAACATTTAAATAGACATGTGGATCCTAATAAAGTCAACGTCAACAGAAGCCGCGGCCCTTTGTGGCTCACTGAATCAGGCGGCTTTATTCGTTTTGGCGTTCTGATGTTTTTATACAGGACATTGTAGGCTCATTCATGTCAATTTTGGTGATTTCTTTGGCATATTTTTATATGACTTCCAACTTGACATTTGTGTGGCCAATTAGCAAGGTTTTGCGATCACGGTCTAAAGACATCTAGACAGGAAAATAGCATATACGGAGTAAGATACACAAAACATGGGTACAGAAATCATATAAACATAAATCCAAGTCCAAATCAAAGGTGAGACTAGAGACATCAAATGAAATTAATTTGCATTTGCACCGAGTTGGTAGTATTTGCAACAAAGCGTTTTGTATGTAATTAACGTCTTTCTACTGTAGCGACGTTGCCCTCGCGCACCCAGCGCACGATATTTTCTCGGTCCAGGATCCGTACATACGGCTTTCTCTGATTAGCACTCAGCATTTGAGAAGAGTGTGGGAGTTAAATACACACCACTACAAGTAGACTAGCCCCCTGCTGTAGTGATTGCACAACTGTGTGGTCCAAGGGCTGTACTAATGGCTAACTTTTTTAAACTACTGTAGCTCCGTTTCCCTCGCTATCTCCGCACCCAGCGCACGATATTTTCCCGGTCCAGAATCCGCCAGAGGGCCCGCTCGTTGCCGAAGTTGTGCGCTGTGTCGTTCTGTCTGGGCTCCGTGAAGATTTCCTGGTCATAGTAGTGCATCGGGTACCTGGGGGGGGGGGGGCATATATATAACAGAGCGGAATCAGGAAATCACATAAAGTTATAGCTAACAAACTGTCTATGATAATCACACAAAGACACACACACATAAAAGCACGCACACACACGCACACACACACACACACACACACACACACACACACACACACACACACACACACACACACACACACACACACACACACACACACACACACACACACACACACACACACACACACACACACACACAAACTACACACACAATCACAACTACCACACACACACACACACACACACACACACACACACACACACACACACACACACACACACACACACACACACACACACACACACACACACACACACACACACACACACACACACAAACTACACACACAATCACAAACTCCACATACACGCACACACACACACAACTGTGCATAAATATGTTATATACTACTATTTCACCTGGGATCAAAGCCGAACCCGTACAGAGAGACCTGGTCGCACAAGTGAACCGCCATGAAGGCAGTGAAGACTCCGGTTGTGGGTCTCTGCCCGGTCGCGTTTAGGTAGTTACAGAACACATAGCGAAGGAAGTCGGGATGTGCGAGACACAACCGCTCAGGCCGCACCAGCTTTGGTGCTCCAGGGTAGCTAGAGAGAGACAGAAACAACTAGAATCTGAAAGGTAACATTTGAAAGCAAATGCATTGTGTTTACCTCCATATGGTCTAACGGCATAAACAGAACACTGGTTTCTACCGTCTCTACTGTTCTGTTTATTCTTATTACTTTGAAGGGTATAAAAACACATTATATATGGTGACCAGACCCTCCAATTTTGCCCTACCACTTGCTATATAACGTTCATGGCGCTCCAGCCTCACTAGCTTCGGCACTCCTGGAAAGCTAGAAAAAGTCAGCACCAACTGTCTTTTATAAGTAGTTTGTCCCCTTATAACAGTGAAACCTAGTAAAATTAGTTTTGCTGTGTTTTGTGGTTCTCTTCAACTAAAATAAAATATTACACCAGAAATATTTGAAAAGTTCGGTACAACAATGGTTGGATTTTCACACATTGAGAACCATACCCATATTTTCGGCACTCTGGGTCCCCGTCTGTCCAACACTTTGGCGGCGGGACTTTCTTCCGTACCAGCCAGCCGGCCATCCAGGCCACGTCCCAGTCTTTGAACGGGATGTACACTAGAACTGGGTCCTAGAAAAGGTTACCGACACATTTTTTGAATATCCCAACATGTAATCACCAGACGTGGTGACGGCACACTCAAGTTTTTTCAACTTATATCAATGCCGCCACCAGCACAGGAACAGTACAATACTCATGTTTACCTGAGCGAAGTGAGGAAAGTCGTGTAAAGTGTCTTTCCCAAGGACACAAGATCGGTGGCATGTCAGGACTCGAACCCGTGAACTCTTGGTTCCGAGTCGAGCACACCCCACACTACTGACAAATCTAAATGTATAAATCTAAACGTGCAGAAGTATGACGACAAGACAATGACGTAGGCATGGCGTACCGAGTGGATGACGTGTTGCATGTGTGCGGACTCTGGGAAGAAGATGTAGAAGGAAGTCTTGTTCCCAACGTCCCGAACGTACCAGCTTCCCACCAGGGCGTGGTTCAACCTGGGAAAACATTGTTGTATTTGTTAAGAAGTTCCGAAACTATTGGGACAATCAGAGAAATACACACACACAACTCGGCCACCCAAAGCAATACTTTCGTACCAGTAAACAAAAAGGCTATACGACCTTTACATTTTCTGTATCTGTATAGCCGTTATAACCGTCCTTTGCCATATAACGCACCAGGTTTGTGGGCACGACCTGTCACACCTAACCTTTTAACATCTAATTGCGCAAGTTGTTTGAAGATTTCTAATGACAATGCTCTTACTGTACTTGGTGGCAGCGAGTTCCACTTGGAGAAACATTGTCGTATATGTTAAGAAGTCCCTAAGCTATTGGGGAGAAACAGGTAAGCTAAATGGACATGGGATCTTTACATTTTCACCGATTACACACATAATCCTTGTTATCTGGTTACAAGCGTTGTTTTTGCGTTGATACAAGATTGTTTCTAGTGATGACGACCCCACAGTGTGGTGGATAGCCTCTACCAGGCTTCAGAAGTGGCTGGAAAGAGTAGCCTAACTCCCCTGGCATGTTATCTGTCTATTTGGCCAATTTCTACTCCTTCCAGCCGCTACCCGAAGCCTGGTAGAGGCGCGCGGTATCGAGTTCCACTCTACGATTACAGTTCCATAGAAAAAAGCAAGTTTTCAAACACCTCAATTCTGACTCAATAAGATTTCCTACCTGAAGACAAAGTCTATCTCCTTCTATTCCCGTTCTTTTCTGCTCGAGCTGGTGTTACTAGGTAACTTAGTACATGTAGTTGGTTCGTCCACCAGTTTAGTAGTCATTGTGTACATCATGCATAGTCTGGGCATTTTCTTCTGTCCTTTTCCCTACCTGAAGACGTAGTCATGGCTGTCTATCTCCTTCCCCCTCAGAGACCCTTTCAGCTGCCCGCCTGTCCCCACCACCGCGCACCGCACGCACTTTCTCCTCGGCATGCCCCACACGGGAGGGTCGGGAAGCACGCTGAAGATCTCTTCAACCGCTGGAAGTGGACAAATTAACAAAAGAATCGAAAACCAGAATTGGAATATGGTGCACGATGATTTAAAAAAGACAACACACACATACACATACACAGATACAGACACACACACACACACACACACAGACACACACACACACACACACACACACAGATACAGACACACACACAAACACACACACACACACACACACGGTGGATTGCGGCTCATTCCTTGACAAAGACTGGAGTTGTACAGTGAAAAAAATTGGGTGTTATAATTAGCATTCAGCACTTGCGAGAAAGAGTATAGCCACGGTCACACATTCATTCCCTTTTCCCGAATCTATCTGAAATTTCGTACCAGTTTTGTTCTTGTCCTTGTAGCCAAACGGCAGCAGATATTTGGACTGTAGCTTCTGGAAGCTCTCGGCTTCCAAGTCTTCTCTGTCCATGAACATCTTGATGTCCTCGATGTATCTAGACTCGAACCATCGAGATTTGTTCTTCCGGTGCAGTAGCCCGAACGGACACGTCTGTGCAAGCAGAAAAAGAAGAAAGAACTTGAAAACTAGAGAAGTAACATTTGCAAAGCTAATACGTAATGTTTACCTTCGGACATGGTCTGCTCTATTTACATATATGTACTACGAGTATATGGTGACAGGAGCAGAGCAGACCATGAAATTGCAACATTATGTAACCCAACACCAGTCACCTTGGTGACAGACGTCAACAAATCATCTCATTGGCCAGGCCAGAGGTTAGTGTTTGGAACAGAAGAGGAGGAAGAAACTGAGTAAAAACAATATGTTTTCCTTCGGTAAACATAATTAATTAACAACCGCAGAACAAAAATCTTTTATTCTGTTATGTTTACCTTCGCAGAAGGAAAACATATTGTTTTGTTCAGTTTCTTCCTCTTCGAATCTCCAGACAAATAAGGTCAATGACCTGCACCAGACGTCTGTCATCATGGTAACTAGTATTGGGTTACATCAAGTTGCAATTTTATAGCAGGAGGGATTTAGACTCCCGTATGAGCATATGTACTAGCCTGACCAGTGGAGGGGCTGCTAGAAGTGTGATATAGTCAGGCTAGCTATGGATTATCAAACCATCAACAGTACATGTGGTAATACACAATACTCGCTTTTTCTTGGCCTCTACCAGGCACCGTGGATCGCTGGAAAAATACTAGTAGTAGAAATTGGGCAAAAAAAAGGAATACAATGTAGTATACCAGGGGAGTTAGCCGGCCAAAGAAGCTACATCAGTGGGTCACAAAATGTACCCTCTCTGGCTGGCTAACTCCCCTGGTATACCACATTGTATTCCCTTCCTTTTGGCCAATTTCTACTACTACTTCTAGTATTTTTCCAGCGATCCGCGGTGCTTGGTAGCTTTAGATGGCTAGAATGAATGAATGAATGAATGAATGAATGAATGAATGAATGAATGAATGAATGAATGAATGAATGAATGAATGAATGAATGAATGAATGAATGAATGAATGAATGAATGAATGAATGAATGAATGAATGAATGAATGAATGAATGAATGAATGAATGAATGAATGAATGAATGAATGAATGAATGAATTTATAATGCTACATGTAGCTCTTTCTCACCGAGGGTCTAAACCGCCTGTCCCTGGTGTAGCTTTCGTACTGTAGTTCCCAGTTCGGGTCCAGTTTCGGCTGAAAGTGCTCCAGAAAATCGTACATGACGTCCTCTCTGTCCTTGGCGTCGAACAGTGTAGAAGTCATACCAGGCCTTCTGCAAAAATGAAATTTGTTTTATATCTCTAGTAATTCCTAAGACTTTTACGTTTGCCTTTTATCCTTCTATGCTTCGTATTATGTTACACGGTATGATATACATGTAACATCGAACCCCATGGGCATGAACATGCAAATATGGATTCAATTATCAAAGCCTTTGCATTATTCTGTGCGAGAAAGATTCAGTGGCTACATACATCTAGCTTTATATGTTTAACTGTTTTGTAAATAATGATAGATATAGTGAAAACGCGTATACGATACCAGATTTACAGATACCAGATAACATGTCTCTGTATGTTATGTAAACGATAGAATGACGACACATATACGAGAAATAACGTTATGCCTGCCTGCCTAAGTGCCCAGGCCAGGTACTGGCCCCTTGCTCCCCTCCGTCAGGTTCCTCCAACCAGTTCTGTCAAGAGCGATAGCCTCAGCTACACTTAGAGTAATCCCTGTGTCACTCTGGATCTGATCTTTCCACCTCTTGGGTGGTCTTCCCCGGGGTCTAGGGTTTTGGAAGTCCTGGTGGTATGCCTTATAAACTAGGGTGTTTGTCGGTCTTCGCATCACATGCCCAAACCATCTGAGCCTTCTAGTGCGTATCCTGTCAGTGATGGTTTGTTCCGCCCCAAGTCTTGACCGTTATGACATAAATCCATATGCCTGTTTTGTCTCTCCCATGTTCACCATCAAATATCAAATCTACTGTTGATATTTTACCTTTAGACCTTGATGCAATAGTATGGCTACAGTATTTTTCTCATGGCAAAGACATACAAATTAGGACAATTTTATCTTATCATCTTATTACCCCCGAGATGTCTTTTAATAAAAATAAAAATACGTGAAAGCAATTCAAAAATGGCTTTCATCTATACGTATGAATCGACCTATGTTCAAACTTAAATAAAGTCAAGGATGGAAAAAAAATTGGGATGATTATTTTTAGATATGTCCAGATTTAAGTTAATTCAAGGACCGAAACAAATTGGAGGATATGTCTTTACCTATGTTCAAACTGAAATTATCTCAAGGACCGAAACAAATGGGAGGATATGTTTTACATAAGTTCAGATTTCAATTAACTCAAGGACCGAAACAAATTGAGTGTATTCTTACCCATGTTTAAACTTATATAAAGTCAAGGACGAAGGGTATGGATGAAACTGCAGGGGATATCTTTACATAAGTTCAGACTGAAATTACGTCAAGGACGGAAGAAATTAATGGCATTTTTACCCATGTTTAAACTTATATAAAGTCAAGGACCGAAATAAATTGAAGGATATGTTTTTACCTATGTTCAAACTGAAATTAACTCAAGAACGAAACAAATTGGAGGGTATGTTTTTGCCTATGTTCAAACTGAAATCAACTCAAGGACCGAAACAAATTGGAGGGTATAAGGACGAAACAAATTGGAGGGTATGTTTTACATAAGTTCAGATTTCAATTAACTCAAGGACTGAAACAAATTGAGTGTATTTTTACCCATGTTTAAACTTATATAAAGTCAAGGACGAAGGGTATGGACGAAACTGGAGGGATGGATGTTTTTACCTATGTTCAAACTTAAGTGAACTCAAGGACGAAATAAATTAAGGGTATGTTTTTACCCATGTTCAAACTTAAATTAATTCAAGGACCGAAACAAATTAAGGGTATGAATAGCAAAGAATGAAGATGACAAACGATCATCGAAACGTCGGCTCTTGAAAAATAAATGGTTGTGATGAAAGAACTTTACTATTCAGTACGTCGTTTACCAACCTGATAAAATTATTTACGAAATTAAGGGTATGTTTTTGAATGTGTTCAAACTTAAATTAACTCAAGGACCGAAACAAATTGGAGGGTATGTTTTTAGATTCTGACGTTAACCACTTTTGACTGATGGTTCCCAGATGTTGCACACATATCAGATAATGTTGGCACTTGCTGGCAGTTGTACAACTTACAGTGCCTGGCAGCCATAAGGCCACACCGACTTAATTTTATGGATGACATCCGCGCGCGCATTGATTTTCGCCTGTTCTAAAAAAAAAAAAAAAAAAAAACATCTGACCTGCCCTGGCTCTAGGCCTGGGTACCCCATGGTAATTTAGCGACAATACAGAGCCGGTGGTAACTAGAGCTGTGTACCGATACTCAGTACCGATACTGTACCGGAAAAATTGATTAGGTACAGGTCCAAAATACCTAATCCCTCCGTACCGGTACTGTACCTAAACAATTTCACACCAATTTTATGCCTATTTGTGACCTTAAATGTGGAAATAGCTGGTCGCCAATGGGTTCCAATGTAAGGACAGTGTGTTCATGAAAACAATAATACCTTACTTTTGCCTATATTTTATCTGAGCATTCTCCATAAACCAAAATTAAACCTTAACTATCAAGTGTATACATGTTTTTGTTGCTATTGAAAGAGTTCAGAAGAGCATGTAAATTGGTCGAATTTTTTAGGTACAGGTTCAGGTCCGGACCTGTACCTAAACCTGTGTACCTGTACCTGTACCTGTACCTAAAATTTGTTTAGGTACACAGCTCTAGTGGTAACCCAACTCAAGAACTCAGTACATACGTACAATGCCGATCCATAGATTCCGCAAAAAGCCAGCATGTGCCGGCTTGTCGTGTACGTCCCTATGTTCTGGTGTAAAAAAAATTCACAATACCAGCTTTGTATTCCTGTGGTTTAGTAGCATTTTTATTTTTGGCCGGCATTTTTTTATTCACAATACCAGCTTTATATTCCTGTGCTTTAGTAGCATTTTTGGCCGGCATTTATTTATTCGCCCGCGCACTAGTTTGGGGGTCTTCAGAGGATGTCATCCATGAAACTAAGTCGGTGTGGCCTTACAGTGCCTGGCAGCCATAACCACATACAGTCTTGGCTGCACTGCCGATAAAACTAATCTCTCTTTGTATCAAATATACCGCCTGTCGTGTTTTTAGTACCGGGGAGTGTTGGCTTATCTTGATGTCCATTTTAAGCTACACATAGTCTCTACCAGACCAAGGACATTATACAGAAGCTGGTGTGTTACGCCGAAGGGCGGTTATACCGGCTGTACCGATGCAGATACAGAAGTATTATTATACATAGTACTTCTGTGTAATGTCTTTGACCAGACTAACTACGCTGGCTATATAGGAGAATATTTGCCAAGGAAGTTTGGCCGCCTTTTTTATTTTATTTTTTTATTTACTTCATGTTCACCACAAAACAAGGCTCATGGGAGCCACTCAAATGTTTAAAGTTACTGTACAGCCAGTGAGGACAGATGTTTGTTGACCTTAGACTTGAAAAGTTTAAGGTTATAGTGACCATCATACCCATATGGGAAACAATCACGTGGTAGCTTGTTCCATAGTGATGTTGTTCTAGGAAAGACGCTTTCAGCGTGGAACCTCCTCCTTTTCAGCCAGCGCTGTTACTAGTGTTAGTTCGGCAAAGCATGATGCAAAATTGCCAAAAATCTCCCAGCGTTTGTCATCTGTCCAGGGCATACACTATCAGTGATAGAAAGCAAGCCCTCTAGGATCTATTGCTCAAGAGAGCGTCAAGTAATGTTAGATTGGAAATGACCGTTTCAGGTCGCTTAACAGGGCAACCTCAGAAATAACTGCATGGCAGCTGAGTTGGACATCGATTCAAAACAGACCCCAGCTGTACTTCATTTGGAAAATACATGGTTTTTAAATTGGACAAAACTAGACTCAAGCCGTAGGTTATTTGCAAGCGGAGTTTTTCCCACCACGGGGTTTCATGTACTGGATACATTTTGTATTACTGTTCGCGTGGGCGCACTCCGTTGACGAATTACTGACTAAATTTTTGCCAATCTACTATACATAACGCCTTAGGAAGGCCTGTTGGGGGGTATGTTTCCTCTTCCGTCGCCAAGAGATGATCATTACATACAACAAATGTTGTACATAGTTTCATCTTACATCTGTAATTTTTTCCCTTTAGCCAAATAGGGAGAATAACTTGGCTGGGAGTTTGACTAGCCTCCGTAGCAGGCTGATAGAACTGGGGGTTTGGTGGTCTTCGGCTGTTTTCTGATTAGCCCAGTTCTAAAAAACCGGGGTAATTCAACCAGGCCGGCTGTGTTGTCTATATGCAATCAGAAAATAGCACATAAAAGCTCCCAAAGACCCTGAAGACCCTCAAACCCCCCGTTTTGCCATGCTGTGTAGACTAGGCGTATGGACCCTCTCTGACCAATTTGATACTGTATTTCGCCACCCAAAGATCTGCTTGGAGATTACATAATCTCATCTTACCTGTAATTCTTCCCCTTCCGTACGAGGCTGTCCTTGATGTAGCTCGTCAGCAAAGTTGTAACCGCTGCCATGGCAACGACAACATACATACGGACCCTTCGCCACATCTCTCACGGTCCAAACAAGACTTGTCGCGCCGAAACTCCGGTACAAGATAAGCCAAAGGGGTCTCCCCAGAAATGTTTAGGGGAGAGGTACTCCCTAATAGGATGATGCCCAAAAAAATCTGCGAATTTTCATTAAAATACGAAAGGAAACGCCAAAAAAATAGTTAGTCAAGCAACTGGATATGATTTTGGAAACGGCCAGACGTTTTAGCTAGCATCCACCGAAGGTTAGACATCCAGGTAATAAGATACGCCAAAAAACAGTTCCTCAAGCAACTGGATATGATTTTGGAACGGCCAGACGTTTCAGGTAGCATCCACCACCCTATAAAACCCTAAATTTGAACATTTTAGGAGAGGTGCTAGGATTTTGGGGAGAGGGGGAGCACCCTTGCTTCATGGCTTGGGGAGAGTCCTGTAAATTAAAGCCGAACGTACGAGCAAGCGATATCGATGCGGGCCAGCCGAGCACTGTTCTTGGCAGCTAAACAAATAATTGGCGCGCACTAGTATTTAAGATCCGGCTTGGAGCCTTGCCCGATTATCCTACAGTCTTAAAAAAGTGCTTTTGAAAAAGCTTGAATTTCCACCAGGTTTGCGTTCGTGAAAGGTTTTCTCTCCAGTTATTGAAGTAGTCTCCATAGCATGCCAAAAACAGGGGGGGTTTGGGGGGTCTTTGGGAGCTTTTATGTGCTATTTTCTGATTGCATATAGACAACATAGCTGGTCTGGTTAAATTACCCCCGTTTTTTTAACTTGGCTAATCAGAAAACAGCCGAAGACCACCAAACCCCACTTTTTAAAGCCTGCTACGGAGGCTATTATTGAAGTAATGTTACACTAAATGTTTGAATTGGTATGTCCCAGGCAATTAAGTTTTACTTTTGACGTGGGTTTTTGTTCAAGCACTGACCGCAAAGACCGATCAAATAGCTTTGTCTGATGCTCACATAGCGCCTCTTTTTTAACGAAAAAACTTCAAGCAGATGTAGGACGCAGCTAAGAATCACTGAGTTGCGACAGAGTTTTTTCTCCCGTGTTTTATAACGTCTTTTCAGATGAAGGCGACAAGTAGCCTCTACCAGGCTTCGGAAGGCGGGAAAGAGTAGACATTGGTCAAATAGAGATAACATACCAGAAGAGTTGGTCCGCGATCCCGTCAGTATGTTCTTTCTCTATTTGGCAAATTTCTACTCTATCATTCCTGCCGTCTCCTGAAGCCTGGTAGAGACTAGGCGAGAAGTAAAAAGCGTGTGCATTACCGAAAAGACTAACTTCTTCTACCCGGGTTTTGATTACTCTAAATTATTCTGCTGAAAAGGCGTACTACATGGGCAAACCTCAAAGAGACTGAATCTCATATCTGCTTGGATTTGAGAAAAGAAAATATGGAACTTGTCAAGCACAGAGGTGGAAACTGTGTTGACAGATTGTGTCTGGGGAGCGTTCGTTATCGCTCATTAGCCTGCTTGGGGCTCTGGGAGGTGGTGTAACCATAACGTATTACAGTGCTTGGTCTAGAACCATGCTTTACCTGGTCCAGAACTGTGCTGTATTCAGAACCATGCTTTATTTAGAACCGTGCTTTATCCAGAACCATGCTTTATCCAGAACTGTGCTTTATCCAGAACCATGCTTTATCCAGAACTGTGCTGTATCCAGAACCATGCTTTATCCATAACCATGCTTTATTTAGAACCATGCTTTATCCAGAACCGTACTTAATCTAGAACCGTGCTCACAGAAAGCCTTGGATAGTACATGTGTATCTAGAACCTTGCTTTATCCAGAACCATGTTCAGGCACGGACCTGGATAGTCCACACATATCCAGATGCTTGGTATCCAGAACTGTGCCAATTCGTTTAGGCCCTCCAGCAACTGGAAGTATTAGCATGGTCGCATATGGCAGCACACATTTCTATTTCCTAGCCCTTGGGTCACACAGTTGTGCAATCACTACAGCAGGGGGCCAGCATTGCAAATTACACCAAACAACACATGCCAAAATCAAGAACGTTAGCTTTAATGCTTCTTGTTACTTCCCATGATTGTAGAGGTGGGCATACTGCCAACTGGCAATGGACAAGGCTGTCTTTAAACATCATGATTGTGCCAACTTTCAGTAGACTTTCTTTGGTAAAGCTTTGGTAAACAGTGTCTAAACTACTACTTTGTTGCCATCTACATAACAAATAGAACTTTGTACTTGTGTTACAAATCAACATGATTGAACAGTGTATCGTATACCTCTATCAACGTATAAAGGGGAAACAGTTGCAAAGGAACCTGTTGAAAAGATGATGACTTGTTAACAAGCTTTAGAAACTTTGCAAACTTTGTTGTGTGTATTTAGTTTCAAATAGTCTTTTGTACCAAAAGTATATTCTCTGATCTGTTGAAACAGTTTTTTGTAACAAAAGTATTATCTCATCTGGTCAAATAGTCTTTTGTACCAAAGGTATTTTCTCATCTGTTATAGAATATGTTTTCTTTTAAGTTAAAAAACTACAACAGAAAAGTTCTACATGTACTCCATGAAGTATAAAAATAACTAACATGTATGCATCACTTAAAAGTCATGAACATATCTCAACATAGCTATACGTAACGTTTTTTATCTCTTCTGCCGCAAAAGACTTTCATCTCAGATCTACAAGAAACAAGAAGTTTAAGAACAACATAAGGACTTAGTCGATGACTTGTGCTTCAAGGTACAAACATGTACTGCAGTGTTGGTAACCATTGAGCCTTGAGGTAGCTGTTTTCTCAAGTTTTTTCATGTAAGGGTTCAGAGTGGCTCCTGCTCTGTTCCATCACAGTGATCTGCAGAATATGGAAAAATAAAATCATGTGAACTGTTTAGTTTCACTGTACATACATGTACATCAACTTATATATCAGTGGCTTAACCCTCTGTCAGAAAATAATGTTAAGAATTGGACTTTCCAAATTCCATGTTACCCAATTTTACCGAGATGGCCAGCTAAGATGTTTTATGTCTTTCGAACAATGTTAAAATTGTAAACAAGAAATAAGAGACTATGCAATCCTTAAATTCATGAATTCCCCTATATATGTTGATCTGAATCATTTCTACAAGGTCCTTGAATGAAATAAAACGTAAGAGAGAAACATGAGAGAATTTGAAGTGCTCATTCTTTATAAGAAAATCCCTATGTCCTAAAACATATTGTAATTCCTGATTTTTTAACTGTACTGTTATGTTCACTGTTTTCACTGTCACTTCTGTACCGTGAACTTTCTCATTACAGTTAACAAATAATTCCTGGACTTTCTTTTTCCTGCACCTGTCGCCACCGTGAGTATATAGTTCCATGAACATATCCATTTTTCTCAGACCGTGAACTTTTGCTACCGTGAACATAAAGTGAATTTATTATCGCACCCACCAGGCCCATCCAGTCGTGTATCAGTCACCGTGGCTGACATGTCACCGTTAGGACTGTAGTAGGAAGATGGCAGGCTGCCTTTCAGCTGGGAGGACAGACTGCCCAGTCCAACTCTCAGGGGGGACAACTGTAGAATCAGAAAGTTCATCTGTGTTGGTAGTTACATGTTTAAAGTTAAAACTTTTGGTCCAACACAACAAAGTTCTCTCACCTAGAGCTTTCGAACTGCTTTTCAGGCAACACTATGATCCATATATATGTCTGCAATGTAGGTATGTCTGTATAACTAGAAGGTAACATTTGCAAAGCAAATGCATAATGTTTACCTTCACACATGGTCTGCTCAAATACATTCATATATATGGTCAGACAGGAGTCTAAATCCCTCCTACTATGTAACAATATGTAACCCAACACTAGTTCCCATGGTGACAGATGTCAACAAATCAGGTCATTGGCCAGGTCAGAGGTTAGTGTTTGGAACAGAAGAAGAAGAGGAAATGTAGCAAAAACAATATGTTTTCCTTCGGTAAACATAATAATGAAGAATTGAATTGAATTGAACTGTTGTTTCACCTTCTCTGGGGCTGTTTTCAGCGATGACTGTTGCTCGACGATCTCTGGTGATGTTTTGAAGAAGGACTGTTGTTCCACCATTTCTGGTGTTGTCCGAAGAGGAGAGGGGGGAGGGGAGAGTGAGGCTGGGGAACTGGTAGCTGCCATGGATACCTCCAGGTCTGTGGACTGTATGGAGAAAAACATGCTACGGTCAATCTACTTCATCTGCAGTCATCATTTGCTGGACTACTTAACATCAGTACTGTGAATGTATTTCTCCTGACATCAAGTGTTACTAGCAGATCATAGCAGATCTGTGGCGACACACACAAATACTGTACATGCTGCCCCCTGACCCTTAATCTGATCTTGCAACATGGCTAGGATGGAAAACGTTTGTCTGTCTCTGGAAACACACACACTCACATAAATGTACACAAGCACACACACAGACTGACACATACAAGCTAGCACACAAACACACACTCTCTCTCTCTGATACACACAAGCACACACACACTCAAACACAGACACACACGCATGCATGTGCGCGCACACACACACACACAGACAGACAGACAGACCACAACAACACCACACTCCCATAAAGAGATAATTTAATAATGCAAGCAGCAAGACGACATCATGCCAAGACTTCCACACTCACCTCTGTAGCTGGGCTCTCCTCCAAGCCTGACACACTGCTGTTCCCACCCGATGTAGACGAAAGCTGGCTGGAGTTAGAGGACTTCTTCGTGGGTGACATCATCAGACCGAGGGACTGGTAGGCAGCCTCCATGGAGGCCCGCATGGAAGAGGTGAGCACTGATGTCAAACGCCTGGCCGTGGGGGGTGTAGAGGGGGGTACAGCTGAGTCTAGGGACGTTTCAGGGGTGTCAGAGTCAGCAGGCAGGTTGGATGCTGAAGAACAAGAAATATATTATCATAAAAGTTTATCTGTGTTAGTCGTTACATGTTAAAAGTTAAAGCCTCACTGGGTCAGACTAGGAAAGAAATGTCAAATGACAGAAAAATGGAGGCTGGCTAGAACTCTCCCTCTTTCTATCCAGTTTATCGTCTGTTGTTCCCTGTAACGAGGGTTAGACATGCTTGCACACAGATGCTGGGGCTTGATGGTAGCTTGCCATTTGCCTCTGTCTTGTGTCCTTGGGCACATTTTGAAACAAATAGTGCAAGGTTTCTACATAGCTTGATTTGTCTCTGGTACAGTGTGGTCAGAGACAGTTGCCTTAACACTACATAGTTCTGACCTGGTTCTGAGTCTGTGAGTGTGACATCAGGTGATGAGACCCCGTACTGGATCAGAACGTTTGCCCCTTTCTCCTTCAAGATGTTGAGTTGCTGCTGCTTCAGGATTTCTTGAGACGCAAGCGACAGACCAGGGACCTTCTCTCCTTCTGTGCAAGATTTCTTCTGCCCAGCACTGCTGTCAGCTTCTTCCTTTGCCATACCAGGTGAGTTTGGCACAATCTTCTCACCTACACAAGGAAATATTGTTACCTGGATGTCTATCTGTATCTGTATAGCCGGTATAACCGCCTTTCGGCATAACACACCAGCTTCGCAGGCACGCGGCGTGGAGGCAGCTGGCTACATTACACCGATCGACTTGTTACACCTAACACTTGAACATCTAACTCTAAACATTGTTTAAAGCTATCTAATGACTATGCCCCTACTGTACTTGGTCTTACCTTCATGAAGTCAAGTCTAAGTTTATTGTGCAACAATTGCATTGGGCACAAAGTAATATATGGCAAATAACAATAACTATAAACTTCTTCTACTAGAGTACTCATCATAAGGTCAGGTACTAATCTAACCTTATCATTCAATACATGTACATGTTATAACGGAATATTTCACATTATGACACGGTTTCTCTTTTGTATAGCATGATGTATATATTCACCTAGATGAGCAGATACAGAGTCAACAATTTTCTCACCTGTTTCCTTGATGACTGCTGCAGTGTCAGAGACAGGGCTGACCTGTGTTGATCTCTCACTACTGAGGCTGGAGGCAAGCAGCGGAGAGGCTGGTCTGATCAAGGAGGCAGGACGGTCCTTTAATACAGGACTCAGGGGCTGGGGAAGGCCTGAAACATACAGAAAGTTTTATTTCAAATTCATGCCCGAGGGCTAATTGCATGAACAGAAGAAACATTTTGGTATAAAAACAGTTAATTAGTACACATAGAACTACTGATAACTATTAAGAAACTACTGGGTTTGACTTCTTTTTTGAAGACAGAGGAAGACAAAAGGATCCCACGGCACTTTTTCTGTAATTTGTGGGTTTTTGGATGTTAAGAGGAGAGTAGTTTTCTTTTCAATTGTATATGTGTGAAAGTTTGGGTAGAATTTGGAGGCTACGTAAAAGAGTTCATTTCGTTCATTGCTATAGAGGGTACAATTTGAGATAAAATGTGTTTCGTCTTCCACCATACAACACCCTGCCATCACACATTATATCCAGAAACTCATGCTCATGTAAACAACAGTCTGTCTGAGTAAAGAGACTCTTTTACACAACCAAGTGTTTTATTCACAGCCGACATTTCGGTGACCATCTGTCACCTTCCTCAGGGCAATTCTGACTGGTCTACATTGCACTGCAGCACAGGTGTCGTTGTATTGTACGTTTGGGAAAGCATCTACAATGTATAGCAGAAAAGAGTAGTAAAGAACTGTAAAACAGTTGTTTTTTTACTGGTGGAGTTCCTAATAAACATATCTAAACATTAACCTGGTGCAGCTCTAGGAGAAGCTACTGGGGCTTCACTAGCAGTTGGCAGTGAAGTACCCAGACTTGGAGCTGTGTAGGCTGCCTTGGTTGCTGCTACAGTTGGAGATGGTTGGTCTGTCAGGCTGGTAGCTGCCAGGTCATGTCGTGTGCTCTGAATGAAAGAATTAATGAATGAATGAATGAATGAATGAATACTTTTCTTTATTCTGGAATGCTAGTTTGATGGGCAGGCCGCTTTTCGACATCATCGAGAAAGGAGGAGGTGGTGACATTATATATAAACAAATACAAGGCACCAAAATTAATACATATTACTAGAAAAGTAACATTTGCAAAGCAAATGCATAATGTTTACCTTCGCACATGGTCTGCTCAAATACATTCATATATATGGTGACAGGAGTCTAAATCCCTCCTGCTATAAAATTGCAACATGATGTAACCCAACACTAGTTACTGTGAAGACAGACATCTGATTCGGGTCATTGACCTTATTTGTTTGATGAAGAAGAAGAGGAAACAGAACGAAAACAATATGCTTTCCTTCAGTACACATAACAACAAAATTAATACAGTAGTTAAGTAAGTTGTACATTGTTAGTCCAAGAACTTCCTACCTCCTCTGCTACATGGCTACTGCCCAAATCCTGGACCAGACTGGGAAGAAGGGCAGGGCTCTTGTGTTCGATCGGCGGTGGGAGTTTTGCAGGAGGTTCCTTGAAGAACTTGAGCTGGAGAAGGGTCTCGGCTGAGGGTCTGGCAGTACTGTTGGCCTGCAGCAGTCGGGGGAGGAACTCTCTATGCTCAGCAGCCTGGGGCAAAATAGTGAAGGAAAGAAAGAAAGATACAGCACAATTACTGGATATTCAGAAAAGTTTGTGGCACAAATAAAATTGTCCAAGATGAGCACTCATGGATAAAATCTGGTGATATGTAGACAGGTGGTCACCATAGACAAGACTTTTGATGTTTTTGTCAATGGGGAAAATTATCTAAGAGATAAAGTGGTTTCATTGCCTCAAGTACACAACACTTAGGGATTGCCAGGATTCAAACCCTGAACCTTCAGATTCTGAGTCAACAACCCTATCTACAAGCCCTCCATGCCAAAGATCACACTCACCAAGATGTAGTTACTTGTACAGATTTGACTGTGCTTACTTACATGTACTTACTTACTTACCTTTCTTGACTTTGATCAAGCTTCCACTCAACTTTTGTTGAGTTGAAAACCCTAAGACCACAATTTCTTCAGAAGACTCATACTCACTATCCAATTAAGCATCTTTTTAACTCACCAAGCTGATGTCCTTGAGGCTTGGCACTCCAGCATCTGTGCTATTGAAACTGTTAGTGGGATGACACATCCACAGTACCAGCACACCAAACTGGTACATGTCAGAGGCAGCTGATGCCGGCTCACCTCTCCCAACCTCAGGAGGGACGAAACTCAGGCCGTTGGGGGTCTGGTACGGTGTGGCTACACGCTGTGTCTGTGGTGGGTGAAACAAACTTAGTATTGGTTGTTTTGACAGTTTTTTAAAGCACATTTATATTTTCATAATTGATTCATACTAAATTGTTTTTGTTATTTTCTTCATTCATCTTGTATTTTGATGGCTTTTTAAAGGCACTTCTGATTTTTTCTGAATCCTCTTTAAACATCTGTGAAAAACAACAGCACAGGACTGGCAGGGAAGAACTTCTTTCAGCGTACCTACACTACAATGAAAGAAACATTACCTCCACCAGACAAATTTTACTTGCACTATTCAGAATTTAGGAAGTATGGATCACACTGAAAACTGTTCAGAAACCATTATATCAAACTTGAATACGTTAATAATATGCTACATCTGACGAAGGTTGACAATATCGACCAAAAATTTTTGGTCAGTTCACTCTGTGTTGGAACTAAGCTCAAAGTTTATAACTACTGAATAAGATGCCTACCGCCGTCTTGGCGAAGTCATAGTTGTCCAGGATGCCCTCTGTCCGGCCTGGTGCAAGTACATACTGAGGGGTGACAGCACCATGGCACACACCCCTACTGTGCAAATGGTATAACCCTTCCAGTACTCCCTTCAACACCAGGAAGGTCTCCTAAATAGAGAAACATATTATATTATATTAATATAATAGTTTTATTGCAAGTTCATGCCCGAAGGCTAATTGCAGACAGACATTGATGACAAGAACAATGAGTGCAGAATGTATTGAGGAGTGGTATAAAATTATATGCTAACATGAAGTTCTACACTGTACGTTCTACTAATCTAACTTTCTATCTCTAATACTATAATATTCAACTTACTGGCATAACAATTGTGTGAGGTACAAATACACAAGCCTACACATACTACAACCTTCTCAATAATGCAAAATTGCAGATTTTTCTTTTGCAATATTGTAAATCTCTGTAAAATGCAGATGGGTATTTCTAACACTGCCATTGATGCCATTCAATTATAAGACCCTCCCCCATTGTCGTTTTCTACACATAAAAGAAGACTACATACCATGTTGTTGAGAGGGTTGGAGTCTTGTAGCTCTATCAGGCTGGACCCCAGGTAATACGGCATCTGCACATACATCTGCCTCATGGTCTATAGAAACACAACAACTGCTTTTTAGTCATGTTTGTTTACCTCCTTGTTTCATTGGCACAAAAACATAAAACATATAGAAGCAATGATACATACAAAACTAGAAAAGTAACATTTGCAAAGCAAATTAATAATGTTTACCTTTATGTATGGTCTGCTCTGTTAATTCTTACTCAAACACATTAATTTGTATGGTGACAGCAGTCTAAATCCCTCCTGCTATAAAGTTGCAACATGATGTAACCCAACACTAGTTACCATGGCTACAGACATCTGGTTCAGGTCATTGACCTTATTGGTTTGGAGAAGAAGAAGAAACTGAGCAAAAACAATATGTTTTCCTTTGGTAAACATAATAACTTCCTTGGAGTGAAGTAACAACTTAAGACATTCCCACCTTACTGAAGAAGACAGCCTCCACAGCTATAAGACTAGGATGCTTGAAACTATGGAACTCCTTAGCCCTCGCCAAGACGGTTTTCTTAGCTCTCTCCCACCCCTCGCCTCCTTCGATCATGTACTCCTTTATCACCACCGGCTTGTGGTTGAAAGTGGTGAGGACTGCGGCAGAGTAGGGTGCAGTTCCCTTGGTGAGCGCTAGGGGGACTGGGGACATGTTGTAGTGGTCCAGCTCCCATCCAACCTTCACAAGCCCATCACTCTCCTGGAACACAACATGGATTGATTGATTGATTGATTGAGTGGGACTTTGTTTATTCATGAAATACTCAGTCTATTATCCACTTTTCATTGAGTAGTCAAACGAAATTTAACAAGATACACTGGTTACATAATTGAAGTCCTACCAAATCCAAAGAAGATATAGTTTTGAAGTGATGATTCTTATACATTGTAGCTATCAAGGACATTCTTCTGTAAAGTGGAGACTGGAAACAGAAGGCTTGCAGAATGATTCTATAATACAGACAAGGCAAGAAATAAGAGATGGCAGACTTCATCTCTTTACCCACACTGCTCTGCAACCTTTCCAGTCCTACAGACAAAAATTGCAGAATAGCATGTATGGCAATGCAATGCACAGACACACACACACACACACACACACACTAACACACGCAAGTACACACACACACACAGACACACACACACACACACTGACCATGAAAGTCCCCAGGTTGAGTTCAGGATACAGAAGGGGCAGCTCTGGGAAGTGTGACCCGGCGTGTGTGGCTGCCTCTCCCAGTAGCTGATGCTCCCGGCTGAATGCCACCTGGATCTTCTCTCTCAGGTCCATCAGGTGCAGCTCCACCTGCTGCAGCTGCGCACCTGTAACACCCTGCAGGTGGGTGAATAAAATGTAAACTTAGAAACTTAAAGGTAACATTTGCAAAGCAAATACATAATGTTTGCCTTCACATAGTGTATCCCAGCAAACAACAATATGTTTATTCTTACTCAACACATTATTTTAACAAAATATATATGCTGTGACATAGTCTGACACAGTCCCGCAACTTGCAACATAATGTATCCCAACACCACAGGGTGTTTGCTACAGCACCATTTACCATGGTGACAGATGTCAGGCCCAGGTCATTGACCTAATGTGTTTCGAAGGAAAGAAGAAGAAACAGAGCAAAAACAACATGTTTTCCTTCAAAAATGTCAAGTAAATGTGAGTGAGTGAGTGAGAGAGTGAGTGCATGTGTGAATGAGTGAGAGAGTGAGTGCGTGTGTGAATGAGTGTGTTCTTACCTCCTCCTCCAGGTCCTGTTTGTCGGCCATCTTGTGCCTTATCTCTGACTTGATCGCTCTGATCTCCTTCTTCACCTGCCTGAGGGGCTCCAGGTCTGGCTGGGAGGTCAGCCAGCGAGTCATGTCATCACGGCACTTCACATTACGCGCTAGCAGACCCTGAAAAAAAACATAAAAATAGTAGCACGGTTGGGATGGCTTAGTCTCCATCTAACATTGATTACACCCAAGTCTCAACCTGAATTGTACTGTTTGTACCACTGTGAGGTTTGAACAATTCAGGACCCCTACTATTTTCCATGATAGCGCTGGGATGTTTAACGTGCTCAAGGTGTGGCTCTTCTCAAACACGGGACCCTCCAGCTTTATTCATTTAAGTGAAATCCTCAAAATTGAGAAGATCCAGCGCAGAGCTGCACGCTTTGTACTTCACCGTTACAGAAACACGTCTAGTGTCTCTGCAATGATAGACCAGCTCCAGTGGTTGTCCCTCCAGGCTCGACGCCGTAACAGCAGACTAGCCATGTTGTACAAAATGCAGCATGGTCTTGCCTGTGTGAGTTGTGACTCACTGAACCCCCTCCCTGCCAGTAACACAAGGCGCCGCAGAGGACACAGTCAGCAGTACCAGCAGCTGCCCTGCCGACACCGACCTACCGCTTCTACTCCTTCCTCCCTCGAACGATCAGAGACTGGAACTCACTGCCTGAAGACATTATACAGTCTCCATCCCTGGCGACCTTCGCTTCGAAGGTGTCAAACCTTGCCTAAATCACATATTAGTATATGGTGACCTTTGACCCGTTAAACATGTCAGTAATTGTCGGAGTGACGGCAGCCGGACATTAACGGAAGAAGAAGAAGAAGTGGATGTCCCTAACCGAAGCTAGGTATTCGTTTACAAGAAATAAGCATAAAATGTACTTCCCAAAGGCACAACAAGATCTCAGAACCTTCATAGTACAGCAAACAAGTTACAAACTATGCAGTACCTGTAGTTTGTTGCCTGACCTGCCACTATACACGGGAAGATTCAACTTTTCGGTGTCGCAGTAAGTAAGTACCTGTAGTTTATGGATGTCTGCAGTACCTTGCAGTAGTTTGTTGCCTGCTCTAACTTTTCCCAGTAAGAAGTACCTGATGCGCCACTACGCACAAGAGGATCTAACCTTTAAGTCACAGTATATTGTACGTACCTGTAGTTTGTGTATGTCTGCCATCTCCCCCCGTAGGTCGTTCAGCAGCATGTTCACCACAGCTGTCATCAGCTTCAGGTCAGCTCCCTCCTCCACCTGTTTATTGGTTGTTTAACAAAAATACACAAGTAACATTTGCAAAGCAAATACACAATATTTACCTTCGCATATGGTCTGCTGTTTTAATAAATCTTACTAAAACACATTCATATATCTATGGTGACAGGAGTCTAAATCCCTCCTGCTATAAAATTGCAACATGATGTACCCCAACACTAGTTACCATGGTGACGGACATCTGGTTCAGGTCATTGACCTTATTGCCTTGGAGAAGAAGAAGAGGAAATGTAGCAAAAATGATATGTTTTCCTTCGGTAAACATAATACATTAGGTTGAAGTGATACTGGGGTTTTGTAAGGTACCTGTGCATCTGCCAGCTCCTGCTGCATGACCTGGCCAAAATCAGAAAGCAGCTCCGCCAGGTCTGACCCTGCAGCGCCTGTCTCCACGTCGTTACCTGTCTCTCCTGTCAACAGGCTGCTCAGGAACTGAAAAAAAGGATGTGTGTGTTTAACAAGTTACATCATCTTTATTAAATTGAGGAAACATTCATGACTAGACATGGTGACAGCAAACTCAAGTTATATCAACAATACTCATTTTCACTTGAGTTAAGCGCAGAAAGTTGTGCCTATCCCAAGGGCACAAGATCGGTGGCATGTCAGGACTCGAACCCAGGACCTCTTGGTTCTGAATCGAGCACTCTGCCGATACGCGAGCACTGGATACGCCACACGACCCCACATACAACTGTGATCGGTTGAACATAGGAAATTGTACTGTACATGCAATACTTTGCAGTGCTTTTATTTCACAGACATCTCCTTACCTGCACCACTGCCTGTAACTCCTGGCACACCTCCTTACAGTGTTGGTTGGTTGCTCTGCGCAGAGACTGGAGGTTCTGGACTTTCTGGGTCTGCACATATCAAAAATATGCACATCAACACAAGACAAGCAAAACCTGATTCACCGTTAGGCCACACTGACTTGATTATATGTATGACATCCACTCGTCTAACAATTTCGCCAGTTTCCTAGAAATTTTGGTTGTTTTGGTTGGTTTTCCTTCAATGCCTACAATCATGATAATGATCATCCTGGCATACTCATCTTCACCTGAGCGAAGTGAAGAAAGTGCCATTTTCAAAGGCACAAGGTTGGTGACTTGTCAGGATTCAAACCCAAGACCTCTTGGTTCTGAGCCGACTACCGTTTTGCCACACAACCCAGACAACGTTTGTGACCATACTATTTCTTTTGGTACTTGTAGAAAGCCAAAGGATGAAAAAACAAGATGCCAAAGGAAGCAAAGCACCACAAAATCTTCCAAAATGAAAGAAGATGTGTAAGAATCTACTTTTTGGTATACCATGCTGTGTGTTCAATCATTTGTGTGTTCAACCTTTCTGACCACTCAGATTTCATAATGAAGGCAACTTTTTTTATCCATTTTTTTGCACGTTTGCATCAGTTTTGGTGTGCCCAGAGGATGTCATCCATATAATCATATCTGTATGGCCTTAGACCTTCTATCAGTTATACCTGACATACAGTACATAGTTTCACTAGACGAGAGAGACTGAACTAGACTTGAGGAATATAGCTTTTCAGACGGGTGCGTGGTAAGATTAAGCTTATTGTTGTGTCTTGTCCAAAAGGGCACCTGGCTTACCAGTTTTGTTACTCTGTAGGCCATAGGTAGACCCTGGGGATAGAGGAAAAGTTTGTTTTGGTTTCATGCAGTGGGGACACCTTGCAGGCAGTTGTGGAATTGCAAGCATTTTAATTAGGGTTTCTTGTAAAGGAAAAAAAGAAAACGGAAAAAAAAAGACTTATACATTTGGAAAAATAAAAATAACAATCCCCGCTTTACTGTCAATGTGTGATGGGGTGAGTATCTGATTTTTAGGTAACATTTTTACCTAGGAAACCTACGAAAATATTTGGGCACACAGCTCCAAATTTTGGTTCACAAAGCTGCACATTCACCAGAATTTCCAGCCCTGACAAATATGCAGAAACACATACAGACAGACGGACAAAATAACAGTAATAACAGACACGTACACGCCACTCCATGAAAGACTGGAACGTCTCGGTGCTAGCCTTGCCGACAAACTTCACCTCATTTGTCACATATTTCTGGTAGGTCTGTTCGATGCTCACGACCGTGTCTTGGAGAGAAGAGAGACGAGAGTGGAGCGGAAGACTCTGCATCTCCTGGATACACTCTGTGATCGCGGTGTGGGCGTCACAACGCGCGTCGTTCCTCGCAGATATCAGGGTGGTCAGAGTTTCATCCTGCAGGAAAAAACACATGGTTGACTTAATTAGACTAATTAGACCTGGTTTGTCACATATTTCTGGGGCATCTCCTGGATACACTCTGTGATCACGGTGTGGGCGTCACAACGCGCATCGTTCCTCGCAGATATCAGGGCGGTCAGAGTTTCATCCTGCAGGAAAAAACACATGGTTGACTTCATTAGACTAATTAGACCTGGTTTGTCACATATTTGTGGTGCATCTCCTGGATACACTCTGTGATCGCGGTGTGGGCGTCGCAATGCGCATCGTTCCTCGCAGATATCAGGGTGGTCAGAGTTTCATCCTGCAGGAAAATGCACAGTTAGACTAAAAAAACCCAGTGCCTTCTCACACAAAGTTAAGAGTGTTACAGCTGGTTCATTCTTCCAACTCCAATTCACTGTTTGCGAGTGTCTCTCTCGATTGTTTTCAGTTTATCCTGGGTCCACCTCTGCACCTTTTCTTTCTGACCAGTGAAAGGGCTGCTAGAGGAATGATGCAGTAAGAGTAAGCTTCATACGTTAGCTTCAAGCCCCAAACTGCAGCACATAAAAGAATCCCACAAACTTAGAAGAGAAGGGATGGCCCAGTGTGCTTCGGCTGTAAATGCAAACTGTAGCAAAGCCACAGACGGTCACGGAAACGTCGGCTGAATAAAAGACAATTGTGTAAAAAAGAGTCTCTTTATTCAGTGACTTACCAACCTGATGAAACTATTCACGGACGTTCATGTAGTTAGGTTAAATTCCAATTTAGTTTTTACCTCCTGACTACATGAGCTGATCTGTTCCTGCAGTCCCTTGAGTTTCCCCAGTGCTTCTGACACCCTCACCACAGTCTGGATGTCGGCAGGGCCAATCCGCTGTGTTTTGTCTGTTACCATGGTGATGGCCTGCTGGATGGGGTCAGGGACATCCTGCTCCACCGGCATTTCTTTCCTGGATAAGTGAAACAGTGACAGTTATAACATTAAAATGAAAGTGAAACTGATCTCAATCCAGTTTTAGCTCACTGAACATACATAAATGATTTCAATGATTTCTTCACTTTATCAGAAAAGTACGTTCTCGTAAAACCAAGGACTTAACTAACATTTATTTTCAGATTAGTTGCACTAGTGTACCTTTTAAACAAACAATTTCAAGGACTTTCCAATATTGAATTGTAGTACAAAGTTGAACTTTATTCCACAAGGACAAAGATCAAATTTACAATGACCACTGTTGTCTTCATAAGGAGAACTAATGACGAAGGTGACAATGGTCGTTGAAAATTTGATCTCTTTGTCCTCATAGATGAACTTTCATGATAAGGTTAAGTTGACCTCACCTGCTGACTTGTACTTTCTTCACCTGCGCTGAGACGGCCTGTACCTGGTGTGAGAGGCTGTTCTCTATCAGTCTGTCCTTCTCACAGATGTCCGTCCTCAGCTGTACCAGGGCTGCGTCTCTCTCCTGTAGCTGGATCTGTGCTTCTTCCAGTCTCTTTTCTTTCTCCTGGATCTCCTGGACTTGGAGCTGCAGCAGCTTGTGTTGCTTCTGTAGTCAAAAACAGTAACATGTTAGTGTATATATACAAGAACATACATTGTAGACAAGCAATTCCGTGACATACCAGGCAGTATATATCAACCAAACTGAACTGGAAATAAAATGTAACTAGAAATATAACATTTATTAATTTTGCAAATGCAAATGAATATTTACCTTCACATAGTCTAGTGTAACTATCTACTGCTTCATCTATTTTTACTCAAAGACATTATAATATATAGGTAATGCTTTAATCCTTTCAACTCTGCATCATGCAACATAACAACCACAGGGTGTGTGCTACAGCACCAGTTACCATAGTGACAGATACCTGGTCCAGGTCATTGACCCTATGTGTTTGGAGAATCAGAAGGAACAGAGCAAAAACAATACCAACATTTATTTGGTCCTGAAGATTGTGTCTCTCTTGAACGAATAGTTTGATGCGACCCTCCATGTCTCCAAGCTTGGCTTTTAGGGTCTGTAGCTGGTCCAGTGCTTCTCTGTCACGGCTAGCTATACCGGTGTCTCCCTTTGCCATCACCCTGGGAAAGATAAATGTTAAGTTAGCTCCTAAGCCTTTTTTTAGGCTGTAGGGGCAGTGGGTTGTTAATCCGCTGTGTCTAGGGTACGGTATTGGTAGGCGGAGCCCATCCTTCTCCTTCCAATGTCTTTTACCTCCCCAGCCAAAGTCATGTACCCGCTTTACACCTGGGTGGAGTGAGGAAAGTTGTGTAAAGTAACTTTCCCTATGACACAGCATCTAGTTGGGAATGCCAGGGATCAAACCCACAATCTCTCAAATTTGAGTCCAAGCTTAGCCATTCTAGGGCTTTCTGACTTTAACGAAAAGTTTTCTTTTGTTAACTGTATCTGTTCATCTTGTTTAGTTGTGACCTGTACTTAGCCATGCTAAGTGTGGCAAAAATGTACGATATTCAAATTAAAGTGATAAGAATGAGAAAAATACAAAAAGTTTGACATCTACCTGTCCACTATTTCGGGACTGTGTTTCGCAGGGGGCTGTTTCACAGGTCGTTGACCTATGAACCCTTTCTCCACCATGGATTGGCTGACCTTGACCCCGTCCACCATGACCTCAGCTTCGATTGGTCCGTCCTCAGGTGTGGCGCGCACCTTCACCTGTACAGCCTGGTATTCTATCAGAGACCTCAGGTGGGCAATGCCCTGCAAAAAGGGGGAGGGCACAGGTCAGGGCTCCATATAGTTTTTCTGCATCCTTTAGTGGTGTAGGTAACAACAGACAAAAATTCCAGTACCAGGCAAAGCTTCTAGCCCTCTAATTGTGATTGAGAAAAGTACTGCCGTGCTGTGTGCATGGGAAATTGTACACATAGATACAAACACACACACATACACACAAATACAAACAGAAACACACACATACAGATACAAACACACACACACACACAGATACAAACACACACACACATACATATAGGCATTCTATCAGCGACCGCAAGTGGGCAATGCCCTGCTATGGGAGGAAGGTCTCTTCTGTGTGTTGAGGCCTGCACACACACACACACACAGACACAGGGACACACAGACACACACAGACACACACACAGACACAGCCCCTCCCTACCTGTGCTTGTTCCTGACCAGTAGACACCATCCCTGAGAGTCGGTAGCTCTCAGCATACGGAGGTAGTGAGGCAAAGTCAATGGGAAGCTGGCGTATCTCCCGCCACTGGACTGTCTCCCTGTTCCCGTAGTCTACATACTGTACCAAAGCCTGAGAAATAAGTACAGAATTAACTCTATTATCTCTCTATATCCATACACATGTCTTGTCATGTCTTGTCTGCAGGGCAAGCCCTTTGTAATAGCCAACATGTGCCATGCAATACACATTTAATGAAAAAGAGAAAAAACTTACCTGATCATCTGATACCATGTTAATGACCCTGCATCTGTACCACTGCTGGTCTTCTGAAAACTTAGCACCATACAGCTGGAAAGACAAGACAGAAAGAGATATTGGTCAAGATAAACTTAGTAAATCATGCTATCTCGTATTGTACTCAATACAATACGGTAACAATAAAAACTTTAACATGCAGGGCTCAAAATTCATTTTTGGGAATATAGCACTACTGGTGCACCCAATCTAAAAAAAAATGGGTGCACCATATTAAATAATCTTATAAAACTAAGACTTATTATTTTTCTGACATTTACCTATCAAGAATATACTGTATACTAGTATACATTAGATATCTTTACATATGTAAACCTATAAAAACATCTGGGTGCACAGCTCCAAGTTTGAGTGCACCAAGGAGCACATGCACCCAGTATTTCCAGCCCTGACGTGAATGTTTACTGCCTAAGCTAACCTGAGGTATGAAATGTTAACTAACCTGACTGGGCTGTGGGGGAGTAGTGAGAGGTCTCCCCTGGGCACAGACCCCTTGCAGCTCTGCTGAGAACTGCACTATCTTCTCTCCAACCTTCATGTTCTGCCCCCAAAATGTGCAGACATCCTCAACCTGGGTCACAAACACTTGCCTCTCCTCAAGCTAAACAAAAAAAATAGCAACAACAACAGGGAATCAGAGACTTAACCCCTTTCACTCACTCACTCACTCACTCACTCACTCACTCACTCACTCACTCACTCACTCACTCACTCACTCACTCACACACACACTCACTCACTCACTCACTCACACACTCACTCACTCACTCACTCACTCACTCTCTCTCTCACTCACTCACTCTCACACTCACACACACACAGACTCACTCACTCACTCACTCACTCATACACTCACTCACTCATTGACTCACACACTCACTCACTCACTCACTCACTTGTCTCCTCCAACTAAACAACAGGGAATCAGAGATGGTAGAATTCAATCTCTTACCATTAACTTCATTGAGGCCTTGTTAAAAATGTCTTGAATGCCAGGATGTATTGTTCAAGATCTGAGCTTAGACTACATGCCCACTTGGCTTGCACCACTGTATCCAGCAGATGCTTTTTAATTTTAGGTATTAATGGCTATTACTACTACTACTACTACTAGTATCAGTTGACTAAAGGCTGTTAGAAATATTGTCAAAGGCTTATGTATGTAACATTACTTAATTTGAGGAAAGTAGTAACTTATAGGTGGGGCAACCTAAAATTCTGATGGGCAACCTAATTTTTGCCCACTGGGTAACCTGTTTCAAAAAAGTATTTTGTACACTGCTATGTACAACAAACATGTATACAGTATTTATAGGTTCATTATACCTGGGAAATTCCCCCTTGTGCCACAGCCATAGACCCATTTGTTCCAGTGACAGTCCTTCGCTGGTTTTCCTTGTTCATGTTCCAGTTGCCTTTTCCTGGCAAAGGCCTGTTGTTATTCTCCTCAGATCTGTAAAAAAATAAAGTTGGACTTTCAAAGAAAATGCCAGGTACTTAAAATATGATTCAAAAGGTCATCAGAGTGCATTTACAACAATATAAATGAAGGGTTTACCCTCTACTGGCAATAGATTTTTTACAGCAGCAGGGACCTCCCTAAACAATGGAGCAGTGGAGCTCCTCCACCCAGTCCTTATCTCAGCTCCACCCTGTTAATTTTTAAAACTAGTGTTTTTACACCCTTTTCCAGGGTTCTTTGGTCAAATTTACCGATATTTCGCACCCTCCTCCATTCTGTCCTAAATTTCTGGGGAGGTCCCTGCTGAGCAGTCACTCTCGATACAAGGAAAGCTATGTGTGAATTGTCACATCCCACTATACTAGTATTCCCTGCGACTAAAATTTAAAATTTGGTTCAAAATAGTGAGGCTTCACTTACGATTGTTCCCGAACCTGAGTGCGCCTCACCTGCAACAACAGAACAAGAATAAAATTTCATCAATGTATGTTCAACTTGAAATATATTCATGAGGTAAAGTATGTACAGTATTTACAGGTTCATTGTACACATTCATATGCAAGCAAGCTACTAGTTGAAGTATACTAGATATCATTATACAGTAGTATACAGATTTTGTGTACTGACCATGAGAAATTTGCCTTCAAAGATCTCCCCATTGGTTTCTTGCACAGCCTTCTCAGCATCCAGCTTACTGAAGTACCTCACAAACCTGGGAATTGAATAAAAAAACAGTTGCCAACATCAGAAAATATGAGCAAACAAAAGGGAAAACCTTGTAATAGTTAGCATAGCACTAGTACATGTATCAGTTGATCGGCCAGTACGCCAAAAAACGAGTTACTCAAGCAACTGGGTATGATTTTGGAAAGTTGTTTGAGTAACTGCTTTTTTGGCATATCTTATTTCCTGGATGTCTATGTCAATATATCGGACAGTAGTATAGTTGTATGTTCCCTATTCAGTATTACTTTTCTTTCTTTGACATCAACACAACTACAAGCAATAAGCTACGGTATGATTTTGTAAATAAAGGCGCCGCCATGTTACAAACAAGGGTGTTAGGGATGGCAGACTTTGCTCCCTTACCCACAACACTTTGCAACCACAGCAGACAAAAGTAGCAGCACTGAGGATGTGTAAAAATTGTGTACATCGAAATGGGATAACAAAAACACACAAAGAAAGAGACGACAAAACAATACTTCACTCCTTCAATAGACTATAGAGGCTTTTCAATGATTATAATTTGAATACCCAGTATTTGAGCTTGAATTAGACTTGCAAAGGAACTGTACATTTCAAGACTGACTGAGTGTATGAATATGCAATAAGATTTGTTGTCATTGTAATTGTTTAACTAGTTACTTACGCGACTTTGGTGCCCGGGTATTTCCCTTTGATCAAGGCTATGGAGTGGATCTCTCCAAAGTCTTTGTACCTGGTGTTGACTTGCCTCTGAAAAAAATAAAAACACAAAATTTGAAACATTTTAAAACATGCCAATCACAAGTTTACTGCATCTAAAATTTTCGTGGCAAGGCAAAAATCAAAATTTCATTTCTGGCGTCTTTTCATGGCTTGAAATAAAAGTAGTAGCACAATAGCAAATTATGTTGGAAGTTATGCTGAGTTTGAGTTGGAGAAAATTGGCAGCGAAAAATTTGACACAAAATAATTTAAATTATTATATTTTAGAGTATCTCACAAGGCATCATTCCTTCTGTAACATCTCTGGGACAGTGAGTAAAAATCCTGAACGAAAAAAGTCGATATTTTCCAAGCTTGTAAAAAAAAAAACACTCTTGAACTACGACACAGATGTTTCTGAAAAAGTCGTTCCCGCCAAAGTGTCAAAATATCGTCTGTCTGAGGCGTCAATCACACAGCAAACACCACGCCTCCCGTCCTCCGCAAACAAAACTCAAATATTTAACTTTCCGGGTCAAAATAGTCTCTAAAACACCAACAGACTCAGACCTAGTTCCTAGCCATCCCTAGTTTGCAAGTTTAGCTCAAAAACTGGCGCAAAACCTCGAAATGTGACCAACATCTGCGAGTTTCCGGCCTTCCAACAAAAAGTTCGGCGCCGCCATGTTGGATTTTTTTCCAAGAACTTACGTCTGTAGCTGTGTCCGGCAGACCGCCCACAAAAACGTCGTATGTTGTCGTTCCCTTGTGGTTGCTTGAACCAACGTCTGAGTTCAGCATGCTGCTCATGTTTTGTCTTCAAGAAGGGGCTTCTAAGGCGGGAAGAAGTTTGGAAAGACGCGCCAAACACGCACCGCAAGACGGGCGACCGACTGGAACAAACTTTCACATGTGCACAGACGCGGGAACGAGGCGATTTGAATAAATTATGCCTCGGCTCTTTCCGTTACTTTGCACGATAATTGCCGAATTCTCTTTCTCTTTCTACCAGGCTTCGGGAGGAGGCTGTTCAAAGAGTAGAAATCGGCCCAAAAGAGAAAAACATGCCAAGGGCCGATCAACTCCCTTGTTGGCATGCTATCTCTCTATTAGGCCGATTTACTCTTTCCAGCCGCCTCCCGAAGCTAGCCTGATTAAATCGCTTTTGCCGGCCGCCCAACATCCAGCCGGCCCCCGATGTTGGGTGGCGGACTATGTAGGGAGCCCCCCGGAGCTTGGGTTACATAGGCTATCCCGAAGCCTGGTAGAGGCTAACGTTACTCTTTCTCAACCATACCATGACCATACGAAGCAAAAACGAAAAGTCAAGAAGATGTCGGATACTTCGGTAAATCGACTTGAAAGGGAAAAGAAAGTTCATACCAAAACCCAACCATAAACGTTTTATACTGAAACGCAACGTTAATACATAAAATTGCAAAAACGCTGAAAGCTCTGGTTTTCTTTGTATTCTTTTCTTATAGCTTTTGTTTTGTTAGATAGTTCAGCTGACTTGCCGTCAACCTACTCTCCAAGCAGAGGTTTGGGTTTTGAGTTGTTGTATTTTTTTGCGTGCTTTTAGGCTTTTTATTTTACCATTCTCCTGCCAAATTTCCCGCCACTTGTAATGTGACAATGTGCTTGTCGTGTTCGAATGTTCCATTGGAACGCTGTTCGAACGTTCGGCTTCGAACGTTCGCGTTCGCAAACTTTAAGACCAACCGCCATACTTTTTTTCTTTTTGTTTGTCCACTCGTTGTACCCTTTTTCTTGAAAACTGAGGCATGGAGGAGGCCGATGTTTCACCTGCTCGAGTTTCAGCCATGGATGAAATCATGCAAGAGATGCTCAAGAGCAAGCAGGCTCGACCAGACACGCCTACAAGCGGTCCTGGAGGGGACAGCAGCCAGGTTGCCGCCGATATTGTCGTCGAAGATCTGGAAGAGGATGGCGCTTTGTTAGATCACCAGCAGAGCGACGATAGCGCACAAATGGAGGATACCGCACAAATGCTGGCAGACGTTGTTTCTGACATAGTACAGGTAAAAAGAAGCAAGTCTAATTGTCACAATGTAATTTTAAGTGGAGTTTTATAAGTATATACAACTTTTAGCAAGTGTCTAATTTATATTATGTCACAACCAAATTGAGCTAAATCGACATGGCTGCTTTCTTTTTGACAACTCTCTCTCTCCCTCTCTCTTTCCCTCTCTTTCTCTCTCCCTCCTTCTCTCTCCCCTTGCTCTCACACTCTCTCCCTATCCTCTTACCCCTCTCTCTATGTCTCTCTCTCCCTCTCTCCCTCCCTTTCTACCCCCCTCTCCCTCTCTCTCCCTCTCTCTCTCACACCCCTCTTTCTCCCCCTCTCTCCCTCTCCCTCCCTCCCTCTCTCTCCCTCTCCTCTCTTACCCCTCTCTCTTTCTATGTCCCTCTCTCCATCCCTTTCTACCCCCCTCTCTCCCTCCCTTTCTACCCCCCCTCTCTCTCTCTCCCTC